AAAAAAAAAAAAAAAAAAAAAAAAAAAAAAAAAAAAAAAAAAAAAAAAATTATGAGTTGAGTTTATTTATTTATTTATGTATATGATATAATTATATTTACCTATATTTATTTTATTTTTATTTAAATTCAGGATTATTTATTCTTACTCTTAAAAATAATTTTTAATTATTTAAAAATAAAATTTCAAAATATATTAATTAAGTTATAAATCTTAATTAAATGTTTAAAAATAAATAAATAAGTATTTTATAATAACGATTCTACTTTTTTGAAATAAAAATTAACCTAATCCAAATAATTTATGGTTGGTTTGAGTTCTGAATTAAAAAAAAATTACAAAATTTATGTAACTAATCAAAATTAATTAAAAAAAATTAATATGAGGTATTTTGTTATTTTATATTAACATTTTTATTTTATATTAACTATTTTCTATGTAATTGAATTTAATTTGTAGATTTTATTTAGGTTTCTTTAATTAGTGAGAACTAATTTAAATAAATTAAGTTTAATTAGTAAATTGATTTTGTTTAGCAATCTACTTTAATTGATTGATTTATATCCAAATATAATTCATCAAATTAATAAACATACATTATAACTCATAATGTTATGATTCCATAAACTTTAGTGTCACTCTCATAGCTACCATATATTCATTATTTAAAATCATCATGGCTACCATTTCTCTCTTCATACAATAACGTGGTTGACATACATAATAACATGGTTGTATATATACATCATAAACCATATGGTTTTAATATGGTAAAACGATAGTTCATATTTAGAAATTATATCATACAACATAGATCATTCGATCACGATGTATTGTGGCCAAATAATTGATGAAAATCATGTTTCACAGCTATCTAAATCGAACCTGATGATGTTCAAAATTACTCACAAGTAACATGGAACACACACAAATCTTACTTAAAGAACTCTCAAATTAGTTAATATTTACTATAAATGTTCTAAAATGATGAGGTAAACTAACCTACACCAACCTAAATAATGTTGAACCGATAAAAAAGAAGTGAAGAACTAGTTGAAATTTAGGTGAACTGGTCAAATTAGTGTCGACCCAGGTCGAATTAGAGAATAACCCATCAAACAGGTAGCAAATTAGACTAGAATGAGTCTAATCAAGCAAAATAGATTGAGCCCAAACTATTTGAATCCTCTGTTTTTTTGTTACATACTCGTGGGTGACTAATAGTGAAGTTGTACTGTGAGGGAAGAGTGAAAAGAACCCCATCTGGGAGTGAAATAGAACATGAAACCGTAAGCTTCTAAGCAGTGAGAGGAAACTAGGACTCTGACCATGTGCCTGTTGAAGAATGAGCTAACGACTCATAGGTAATGGCTTGGTTAAGGAAAGCCACTGGAGCCAGCGAAAACTAGTCTTCATGGAGCAATTGCCACTACTTATGGACTCAAACTTAAGTGATCTATCCATGATCAGGATGAAACTTGGGTGAAACTAAATGGAGGTCCGAATCAACGGATGAGTTTTGGTTAGGAGTGAAATGCCACTCGAACCCAGAGCTAGTTGGTTCTCTCTTTTTTAAAAAATTATTTAATAAATTCTTTTTATTCACGATACATATTATATCAATAACTAAAATCTCATAACGTTCAAATATCAAGTAGGGTAGAGTTGAGTTGACATGGTTGTAACTCTATTTTCGAGTTAGTCAAATTGACCCAACCAAAAAAATATCAACACACAAATCGAACCGAATTTTCGATTTTCCAAAAATTCAACTCAAACCCAAACTAAAAAAAAAAATTAACCCAACCCAACTTTTACCGAATAATTCAAGTCAGTCAGTTTATCATCGAATCATATAAACACCCAACAAATAATAACCAACTACAAGTGATTTCAAGTAGTTGCTTAGCTATGCATCCACAAATTTAATCTTAAAATATTTATTGATTCAAAACTTTATTAGGTGATCCAGATAGTTCTAGGTTGCACATCTTTATTTTTTATGGTTAGCCATCTGTGGTGGCATGGCATGCTTTTAAAGGAAGCCATACTTGTTTTAATGGCTGCATTATTGAGCATCCAACTTGGACTCATTAAAGTATATCACTGTTTTCATAAAGCTATGCCTAGATATTGAATGAGATATTATCCGGTAAGTTTATGCTTGATAGCTACAATAATTATATTTAGCTAATATCATGTTTGGAGTGGTTACAATAAAATCACTTTACGTCGTGTTTGATTACCATTTGATTTTTAAAGATAAGTTATAAACTTGAATTCTGCTCGTTAATTTCTATATTTCGTTATCTACTTTATACGAGACTAGAAATTAGGTCATTTTCAGAAAGAAAAACTTGGCGTTTTCGAATTTATAAAAATGTGGTAGAACTTTTGACTTTTTCTTCTGCTCGGTGATTAATTTCTTTGTCTAAATTTTTGTCAGTTCATTATGTAAATTCTTTTTAATCATTCGTCGTAGTTGATATCAAGAAAAAATATCAATTTTATTAGAAGTGTTCGAGAGTTGAGTTTGGTCGGATTTACCCAATTCAATGACTCGAGTTAGTAAATATTTTCAGTTCAAACATCTATTTATTTATTTTCAAATATTTAATTAAGATTTAAAACTCATTTTGAATATATATTTTGAAAAATTAACTTCCATTAATGCACGGTAAACAAAAATGTATTTTTTAAAATTAATAATAAACTCGAGTTGGTTGAACTAAGGAACACAACTCAACCTAACCCAGATTTCAAAATTCAACTCAAACGGCTCGATTGGGTTGGATTGATTTGATTATCACATTTTATTTAATTTACATTATCACGTACGAAAGTTAATGTAGCAGTATTAAAATGAAACTCTATCGAAGCGTCTAAATTGATTCACTCATGAAAGTTTAGAACTTAAATCGATACGAATCGATCATAATTCAAGATGGGATATCTTAGAACATGAACTTCCGTGCTTAATCATTATTAATAACATGAAGTTCTACAATATTTCTTTATTAGTACTAAAAAGAATTTAAATGGATCTAGATGCGTGGACTTTTAAACAATAATTGAAGATCCATTGAAGAACGTGATCTCCACTTAAGGTACTAATTCTTGAACGATTAAAAATGGTGAAGATCTAGGTTTAGTCCGGTACGAAGAATTTCATTTGCATCCACGTATGAAATGAAGGTCAATTATTGATCCCGGGCATTCACTATTATAATAACTTGACTTTCTAAAATTTTAGATTAATTTGAGCTCGTTACCATATGCATGCTGATGACGTATAAAATGAAGAAACGAAAATATGCATATTGCGAACTCATAGGTCTTTATAGAAATACAGTCGAACTTTGTACATGTATTGATATGTAAACCCTAACTGGTTGAAGAATAATTGAAGCATGATTCTTTTTTAACGTGCCATGAATTGTAACCACTTGTCACAATCGCACTTCTGATTGCAGCGGGCTTACGATTGTGCGACACTTACTTCCTAGCAACAAATGAGTTAAGTCAATTCGTTCTTGCGTCGCCTACAACCAAGCGACGTATGTTCGAGTCTCTGACCTCGGCTCAAGAAGAAAGTTTTAGAAAACGGGGACAGAGACCTTACTAAATATGCTGATGTGACTTTTAATATAACAACCTAAGCTGGCATTGCCTACTTTGACCCGTTATATATAACCGTAATCTCACGATTTTAAATGTTTTTGTTAGGGATAGTTCTTACACCGTTATAAATAATGATTCGTGTCTCTCTCCAATTTCTCAATTCTTAATTTTTTTTAATGTATTTTCTTTTTCAAGTACGAGCTAGAGCTAGAGCTAGAGCTAGAATTAGAGCCCGAGCCCGAGCCCGAGCCCGAGTTTGACCAAGAGAATGTCACAAGCCATCCCTAAAATAAATTGAAACAAACCCTAAAAATGTCCTCCTCAAGCAAGGCATGGTGATGGGCATGGGCATGGGGATGGGCATGGGCCTGATGCAGAGCCGAACGTAATGGGCGAAGCGGATGAAAAGAGTATCACAAACAAATAAGAACCCAAATCAAAAGGTCCATTACATTTTGATTCATCACAGTCCAAATTTGAGGAACGGAATTTAATGGAATTTGGGGGAAGAACAAGAAAAGAAGAGGAAGAAGGCCAGAGAGGGAGAGGGGTTGGTTGTAGTAAGAGAAGGTCCACGCAGCGCAACCTGAACCTGAACCACTGCGAATTCAACGCTCATGCTCTCTCTCAATTCCATTTCTCAATTCCTCGTTCCATTCATCTGTGGCTGTGTTAAATTCCCCATTTTTCATCGTCGCCCTTCAGAGAAACCAACCTCTCGGGGCGCAGCCATGATTACTCGATCGAATCTGGTGGAGCAGTTGAGAGAATACCAGATTCGATCCAAGCACGACTGGGCTTCCGCCTCCTTCTTCTCCTCTACCTCTAATATTACATCCTCCAGGTATCTCCCATTCATTTCCTAGTTCCTTATTTTACCAACGTTCCTCGTTGTTACATGTTGATTCTTTAGATTCTCAATCTTGTGTGTTCGTTTTGTTTCCTTTTTATTGTTTGTGATCGATGAACGTGGCTTTTGTGTTCTTTATACTCTCAATTACAGGATTCGGATCATTGTAGATTTTCACAGACGGTGTCTCAAATTTGTTTTATTTCGTATGAGATGATTCAATTTGTTTTCTTTTTTTGGTCAATGAACTTTGGCATTTGGCAAGATCGTATTACAATTATTGATTGCTTTTGTTCTGGGCAGTAATGTTCAATAATCACTGGGTTGGTTACAAAAGGAAAATAATGGTGATCGTGTGGAATTTGGTACTTGAAACGGGATTTTTGTAAATAAATGTCATGATGCATCATGTCATTCTGTGAGTCTCTTTAGCCGTAGCCTGGGAAATTTCTTGTACTTACAAGTTTAGCATCAAATCCTAAGATTATGAGTTTCAGTTGATACAGTTCTGTTTGTTCATATCTCGCCTTGTTCGCTAATTGCATTGCACTCGAGGAAATTATGTTCGAAATTGTACCAAAGTTAATGTTTTAGCATCCAATTACGCATCTCTGGTGAGTGAAGTTCTAAGTTCCAAATCACACAATCTTGAGAATACGTTTTTCATGTTTATAATTGTTAATTTTTCTAGTGTCAATTTGGAGAAGAACTCTTGTATGTTCCTAGCACGATGTTTGTTCAATGTTATTTGTTTGTTTTAGGTTCTAAAGAATGTACGATAGTTAACAGAAACTATAGATGCCTTCTTAGCTTGGAACTAGTTCATTATTGATCAAGAGCTTTCACTTAAACCAATTGACACATTTTTTTGTCTTATGTACAACATATCCAAATAGATATCCGTAGGCTTGACTCGGTGCTACTGTCCACAACACATTCTTTATCGTGTTCGGTTTATGTATTCGATTTGTTCTCCTGATAGATCTTATGTACAACATATCCAAATAGATATCCGTAGGCTTGACACGGTGCTACTGTTCATAACACATTCTTTATCGTTCGGTATATGTATTCGATTTTCTCTCCTGATAGATCTTATGTACAACATCTTCAAATAGATATCTGTAGGCTTGACACGGTGCTACTGTTCATAATACATTCTGTACCATTTGGTATATGTATTCGATTTGCTCTCCTGATAGATCTTATGTACGACATATCCAAATAGATATCTGTAGGCTTGACACGGTGCTCATTCATTATCGTTCGGTTTATGTATTTGATTTGCTCTCCTGATAGATCTTATGTACAACACATCCAAATAGATATCCATAGGCTTGACACGGGGCTACTGTCCATAACACATTCGTTACCGTTCGGTTTATGTACTTGATTTGCTCTCCTGTAGATCTTATGTACAACACATTCAAATAGATATCCGTAGGCTTGACACGGTGCTTGTCCATAACACATTCTTCGTTCGGCTTTTGTATTCGATTTGTTCTCCCGATAGATCTTATGTACGACATATCCACATAGATATATGTAGGCTTGACATGGTGCTACTGTCCATAACACATTCTTTATCGTTCGGTTTATGTATTCTATTGGATCTCCTGATAGATCTTATGTACAACATATCCAAATAGATATTGGTAGGCTTGACTCGGTGCTACTGTCCATAACACATTCTTTATCGTTCGGTTTATGTATTCAATTAGCTCTCCTGATAGCATGAAGATATCCAATATGATATCACTTCTGATGTACATTTTGATTGTTGTATTCTTGATGCAGGGTGGATGTAGTCATTTTTGTAATATGGGAACTCATAATTCTATCCTTCTTGGTGTTTTCGGCGGTTTCTTTATATTTTCGACATATGCAGTTGACGTTCGTTTTAATATGCATCACGATGTTGTTGATTGTATGCATGAAAGTAACAAAGCAAATGAGATTGGCTAGGAAGAAGAAAAGAAGGATGCTTCTTCCATTGTCCATGTGAAAAAAAACTGATAGTAGAAGGAGAGATATACTGAACTATTTTTTTTTTTTTTTTTTTGAA